TATATTATAAATTTATTACGTATAAAGTCTACAAAAACGTGCTATAATATTATTTTTTCTAATTATTGATCGGTCTTTTCAAAGTTTCAATGTAGTGATCAAGAAGAAAAAACCACTACCAACACAGATTCTCCTACAAGTATATTGTTCTGAGTTAAGTATATGTTTATAGTTTTTTTAAGATAATCAAAGTTAAATATTCAATTCTATTTTTCATTTTGTTAGTATTGTTGTCAACCCGAGAATGTTGAATGTTGATATTGTGTGTATGAATGTCATCATTGAGATAAGGGTTACTGAGAAGTTAGACGAGATAAATAGAAGTTAAATTATAATTCTTCAAATTTTTTTTACATTTCTAATTTAGTTGACTAATGACTTTGTTCCTTTTAATTTACAGGCATTCTAAGATAGTACAACATATGATCTCGAAGAAATCAATTCAATGAGGGATGCTTTGTCAATAACATTACTTGAGAATATGGGTTGATAAACATTTTGAAGTTCAAGATTTTGGTACTAATAGTTGAATATAGATTTTCTAGTTCATTGTTTATTAGGGCTGGTTGAACTATAGATTGGTTAAGTTATTAATTATTAGGTGTAGATGATCAAATAAGGATTAAAAATTTTAGTTATATTAGTGTTAGATTTGAGTTTTAACTTTAAATTGGTTTTGCATTATTCTAAATTGGTCTGTTTGCTTTGGTATTGCATGAAAGTTGTATACAAATTAAAACAAATTTATATAAAAAAATAAATTTTTATGGCGGTTATTTATTTAATCAACGTGAAAAGTAATTTTTCACAGCTATTAAATAAATAACTGCAGTAAAAAGAGTCCCATAAATGACGTTTATTGAGGACTTTTAATGGCAATTATTTAATGTAAACCGCTTTGGAATGTGAATTTTTCTCGGCAGTTAGTAACCACCGTGGAACCTTATTCTTTTTACTTCAACAGTATTCATTGTTCCTCCGAAATCAATTGCTATAAAAAGATATTTTCTGTAGTGGTTGTTATTTGTTGCTTTTGCTTCGTCTACAGGGTTGTGCTCTCATAGATGGCGGCCACGCGCGGTTCATGATTAAACAGCCGCATCTTTTTTTGGCCCCTTAAATCGGCAATCTAAGTTTTTTGCTTGCCTTTGTCCCGTTTGCCTTCTTTTTTGGTTTTTGTTTTTTTTTTTTGAAGTCAGCAATTCTTACCCCATTCGCTTGCTTTTTAGCTTTTTCTGAATCATTGAACATATTGGGGGGGGGGGGGTAAATTATGTCCCTTGAAATCATGGTTTTGAAAAAGCCATCCAAACATCATGATTTTTTGTAAAACTACTTTTGAATTGAAAATCATGATTTGGGAGTATAAAACTATAGTTCTCCATAAGTGATTTTTTTTGTTTTTGTTTTTGGGGGGCAAAAACCATGGTTGGAATTTTTGAGAGTATATACACATATAAATTATTAATTAATTATATAAATACTATTTCTGGTTCTTAATGTATAAGTTAGTTAAAGATTCAATTTGATCTTAAATATAAGATCCCAATTCACTTTATTTTTTATATTTATTTATTTATTTCCTTAAGTCACATCATAATATCAAATGATAGTTTCAATGCATGTGATTAACAATAATATTTTAGAGAAAATAACACCTATTTATTATAAATAACTATTTTAAGTTATTTTCTTAATATTTGCAAATTAATTATGTAGTTCTCATATGATAAAATATTGGTCTTACATGTGGTTATTCAATTTTCCAAAATTATTATAACACACCTAGAAAAAAAAAAAGATAGCACATTAAAGTTTCCTCCTAATCTATAAAAATCCAGAACTTGGACAATGGATCGCGTGATGATCTAAGCTATTTGATGGTTAACCAAATAAATTTAAATTAATTAAATTTTTCCAAATTCAATATTTTAAGAAACAAGAAGATAGGTACATGATAGCTATTTCCAAATTTATTATTTTATACAAAAATATAAATTAAAATATACGTTTTATATAATTATCATATTGACTTTGTCTTTTTTGATAATTTGCACATGAAAAAAAATTGATTCTGATAACAACAATTTAAATATTCTCACTTTATCAATTTTTTTTTATAACAAAAACGTACTTTTTCACTCTAAATCATGGTTTTGGCAAGAAATTATCCAAATAGGCAGATTTTTCAGAAATCCTTGGTTTGATCCAAAACCAAGGTTTTGGCTTCCAAAACCATAGTTTCATGAAAAGCAAAAAATGTTGCTTTTTGAAAATATGGTCCTTTTTTTTCACATTGTAATACTACCTCCAATATTTAATATAAAAATTAGTTAACTAACTTGAGTAGATGAAAGAAATTAGTTAAGTTAACTATTTGTAATAAATAGTCGTTGTCTTCTCTAAAATACTATTTCTAATCATGTGTATTTGCTAGAAGTACCGTTTGATGAAATATTTAACATATGTAACTACTATAATAACTACTTTAAAAAAATAGATAAATATAATAAATAAAATAGATTGGGGTTTTATATTTATGATCAAATTAAATATCAAAATAGCTCTTATATTGAAGACTAGAGTTAGTATGTTGTTAAAAAAACTAGTTGTGAAAAAATATTATGGGATTTCATATTTAAAATCTTTTAGGTAAAATAATATTTTTCTGTTGGAAAAAAAAACAATCATTTTTAAAAAAATATATTTAATCTTATATTTTATAAATAGATATACACGTACTAATTATTTATTAATTACGTCTTTTTATATATTATTTATTATGTTGGCAAAAAATATATTATAAAATTTATCTTTTATGTAATTATCATATTAACTTATATCCTTTTTAGTAATTTGTATATATAAAAAGTGTTTTGATAATAACTATCCAAACACTCTCACTTCATCAAAATCACTTTTTCATAAAATCTGTTTTTTCAAAATCTATTCTCAAAAATAACTTTTCTCCCAGAAGCTATTCTCTAAACCATGGTTTGATTTTATCCAAACACCCCCAAAATCTATTTTTGTAAAATCTATTCTCAAAATAACTCTTTCTCCAAAAGTTATTTTCCAAATCATAATTTCGTTTCATCCAAACTCCTCATATGATGGAGAGGAAGGCCAATGGAGTTGAGTAGGATATATGTGAAAATAGGGTATTTGTGGACTTCGAAGTCTTTATATCTATTATATCAAGTTCTCTAATAACATATTACCATGTGTGTTTTTTTTTTGTTGAAATATTAGCATTTGAAAGCATTTAATTATAAAGACACATTAAACAAGAAAAGATACATTGCCACATATGATTGGATAACTTGATATAATGGATAAAAGAAGCTTGAACTAAGTTTTTTCCTTTGTGAAAATTAACAGCATTAACAATGGTTAATCTAAGATTAAGTGATGACGTGTTAAAAAGATACAAAGGACAGATGCCCTTTAGTAAATTGGATAACCTGAATGCAAGTTTAGTTCAAAAAGAAAAATACTTAATTCAAATTACTTATATCTATTATGTCATGTTTTCTAATCACACATAGACATGTATTTTATTTTTTTTCATGTGGGTGTACAATTAAATGCTATTAAATATTAATATTTCAAAAATAAAATATATAGTAATGCGTGATTGGAGAAATTGATGTAATGGATATAAGACAACGTAAGTATTGTTCAAAATTATAAATAACTTGAAAAAAAGGGTCCGATTCATTTATTGTAACAAGTTTGAAATTTTAAAAAAGTGTTTGTTAATTCCCAAGCCGTTACAGTAAATAGCTAGTGAAGTAATAGGTATAGTGACAAAAGTTATGAATCTGTGATGCATTTATTTTAACGAATTTTAGTGAATGGCTAAACAAGAGATGTATTAGTAGATCTATGGTCATGTAATTTTTGGACATACAAGAGATGGTAGGATTGTATCCCACTTTGCCCAACTTTATCGCAAATTATCCTTGTTGATAGCAAGGATGGCTGCCGGTGCTGGACCTCCAAAAGGCAATAATGGTGGTTGTTGATGTCTCTAATAGGGTCATCATTGGCAAAAGGTGTTAAGGTGGCATTTTTTTGTCTTTTTTAAAATTAAGGCAATATGGTAAAAAAAAAAACTTTTTTTTTTTTAATAAAAACATTTTCAAATTCGATGCATTGCTTTGGAATTATATTTAATAAGAAAAGTAAAAAGTACAGAAAAAACGATATTGAAAGGGAAAAAAGTACATATTGCTTCTTTGAATTAAATTTGAATCATATCTTTAATATGTACATATCTTTAGTAACAAAGCAATTTTAGCCCCAGAAAAAAGCAAGGGAGCAATCCCTATCTTTCACTCAATGAATACGTGAATACATTATAATTAATTTTACGTTAAATCTTTTGTCAACAATGTTTGGTCGACGCTAAACGTGTAAATGTGATCGGCCACTCCTTTATTTCCGCTATACTCATTCTACAATTTACAAAATATTCTCAAATTGACATACAACTAAAAGGAGGCCAAACTCATATCTCGCCAACAACAAGAGTTATGTCATTAAACTCAGGGGGGGGGGGAAGAAATACTCCTCCGATCCTTAATATAGGACCCAATTCTTAAGTTGGTTTTGGTCCTAAATATAAGACCCATTTATCATGTTTATTAATTTTCTCTAAATTACCCCTATAGATACTGTCTTAACCATAATCAAATAGAAGAGGGAGAGGAGGTATTAAAAGAGATGATTATGGTGTTTTAGGAAAAATGTATCACTTTTCTTATAATTAACTAACTTACCTAACTTTCTTAATCTAATCAAATTAGTTAAATGGGTCTTATATTAAGGACCGGAGGAGTATTACCTTTCATTCGGAGAAGTAAGATCAGTTTTGGTGGGTTATAATCACTTTAGGTTTTATATTCTGCTTTTAGGATTTCATGAGATGCCATACCAAGCTACAAGGAGTCCATTTAATGAAAAACCATGAATGCTTGCAAATGTAAAGCTTAAAATAAAAAAAAATTTCATCTTTTATTAGGGAGGAGAAACAGAAAGAGGAGTTTCACACAATTCCTCCTTCTCCCAAGACCCAAAAAAAAAAAACAAAAGAAAAGAAAAAAAGAAACACATGAGAAAAGCCCGGGAAGAAGAAATACGCTATTAAATACAAAGGATACATTACAATTACGAGATCCCAATTAATAACACAGACAACTCACTCCAAGTCGAAGGCCGAAAGACATGATCTTGCACCTACGGGATAGTTAATCACAAGACCATACTAAAATGCGCTCCAACTCTCAGAATCTCTTCGTGGCGTTTGACTTTCAGATGATGGCCTAAATGGTCCCGAGCCAAACGGACCGGAGTCATCAAAGGCTGGAAAGCTACGACCCTGATCAAAATCCCCACGGCTGCGGACAGAATCAGATCGTACTAGTGTATCCCGCGAATGTAAAAAGCCGCTGTCATGTGTGCTGAAAGAATCAAATCCTGGGTTGTCAAAAGCAGGCTCGGACCACTCTCTAGACCTCTGTGGGGAGGTGCCTGAACTGAAAAGAGGCGTGCTTGGAACAGAATCGTCAAATCTGAATCTACTACTCTTCGGTTGGGGATCATCTGCCTGTGGTGAACCGGTTTTAATGAGGTTGAGGCCCAAACCCTCAGGATGGAAGAAGTTGTCTCTGGCTCTATCAAGATCAGGGTCCTATACGTACGTCGAAGAATGTGATCAATAAAATGCTTTAAGTGCTTAATAATCAAATACGCACAATACAATAAACTTGATACATTTTGGGAAACCAAGGACATTGATGGACGGCGGGGGTTCAACATAATGGGTTTCACTTAACACTATATCACATTCAAACCTAGAATATTGCGCTTTCTCATTTCTCCACCATTTCCTGTTATTTGGCAAGTGGCATAAAAAATGCCTAAACAACAAACTTTGATTATTCTTTGATTATTCCATATTATCCACCGGCACCATGAAGCAGGAATCTTCTGCAAGCTCTAAATTCCCCATGCTCAAATCACCATAGTCATAGCTATCGTGCAGAACAATGAACCAAACCAAGATTAATGCCCACCATTTATTTAAGAAATTAGCAACGAATAACTGCCCGTATCCCCTACTTACCAAGTCTATTATTTCTACAACTAAGGTTTTTTCCCCCTCTAATCATCACATCCCCAGGGACCAGCTCCACTGTCCAAAAGAGGACTTGACCTTTAAAGTCGTTTGCCTTGGCACATATTTGCCACCCCACCCAACAGAGTGCAGATTCGACATGGGACAAGCCAACATGCCCCATCAAGGAGTTATTCTGCTGATCTCTCTCAGGGAACAAGGAAACAGGGACAACTATATAGCTACTACCGGAAATAATAAAGAAGAAAAAAGAAGGGGGCATTCAAGCAACATAAATGAATTAAGTTTATAGGAAAGAAAAATTGCATAGGATGGGTGCAAGAGTTTCCTACCACCTTGGCTGTGCCACTAGGATTGAATCCCCAGACTGAGTCAATATCATCATTAGTGTCAAAGGCTCCCCAGTCTTGTTCGTCGAAAATTTTGTCACCAGGAAACACAGACTTAACACCATCATGATCACTGCATAACCAAAATAATATAAACAATTCTTCTGCAAGACCATAAAACCTTTATCATGTGAAAAAATGACAAAAAAATTTGTCAAAGTTGATAGCATTGAAACTCAGCTCCAATTAACATAATGATATTTGATGGTCTACTTTTGTTAAGGACTTGGATTCAGCCATTAACCAAGAAAGATGGAGCGTGCCTCATAAAAACTTTATTATTAAAATAAAATGAGCAACCAACCAGTATGAAAAATTTTCCCCCAAAAAAAAAAAAAAAAACCTGATGCACCAGTCCTGAAAATCATACCTATGGATTCCTTGAATATTCTCTTGATCAAGGGATGAATTATGTTCGCCATTATTCTTTCCAACATTAAATTCCTGAGAGTCCCGTGTGGGGCTTCCAATGCCACTCCTTCCAAATGGACTGTTAGGAGCACTTACAGCTGATTCATCTTCACCTTTACTATGAGCAGATCCATTGTCAACGGCCTGATCTTCAGCAGTCTGATGCCTATCTGACTTCTCATCAATCTCAACTGAAGCTGCAGATGTTTGATTGTCAGCAGTGGCAGCAGCTTTCCTGCTCACAGCTGATACCATTTTTTGTTTAGGAGGTGCTAATGTGTTTTCCACGCTGAGAGTGAGCTCTTTGACGAAAGTGAATCCTGATAGATGAAGGTAAAATAAATAATGAAGTTTGAACAGTTCTACTGAACCTTTCTAAAATGCGGATCGCAGGTGCAGACAGGAAAACAGGTTAGTAACAGACTAACAGTTAACTGCTAATTGAATCCACCAATAGCCTATAATTTCCCCCACGAAAGAAATTATGCGTCATATTGTGAGTCCTCTCGAGCCAACCTCACAACCACACTGAGAATACGATTTATTCTATCATTACCCGCTGGCACAATAGGTCCAGCATCAACAGAAAGTACCAACTCCTATCTTAGCTTTGTCTTTAACAAAGACACATCTTCTGAGGTTTTTGCAAACTTTAACAGCCAATTAGCAAATTTTTCATGCTTTTATGGCTCCTCCTAGACTAGTCTAACCACGAATCTAACAAGGGTCTCTTACTAACAAAGAAAAAGCCTTAGTCCCTATCTATAATGAATTAGCTAAATAATGGATTAGTGAACTATGTATAATCAATAAATAGACGAGAAAATGGGTTAAGGACAAACAGATGCCATGACAAAGGTAAGGTCCAGGAGATTAATGTTATTAGATTATTACAGATTGAGCCAAAAATTAATTTAAAAAAAAAAAAAAAAGAGAAGCTCTAGGAAATCTGCATTAAATCCATGGGAATATTGGGTCAAGATCTAGGAATTATTTGCGTGAGTAATTATAGAAGTCTGACCAAATATAGAAAAATATTCCAGATTTGGTACTCATTGCTACAGGCAATCACCATTAATTCCCGTATATTAGCAATGGCTACTCTCCTATCTTTCTCTCTCAAATCTTGTTAGTTCTTTCATTTTTCTTCTCGTCATAGCCATTAGTCCTTATTGTCAGCATTTATGTGTTTTATTTTTCATCTGCAGCCAGACCTGAGTGCCTCTCACGCTTTAGCCAGGCAAGCTCCTTGCCCTTGTTTTTCAGGCCTATGATTCTTGCTCAGCCTTGTCTCCTCTTCCCTCTAATTTCTATCTCAACTATAGGCACCCACCTGGCTTCTCTGTGTATTTACAATCATTCTCTAAATTATATTCACAAGAATTGAGTTCACTGAACTTACTGGTGTTCGTCTCATCCTCATATGATTTTCTAATCCCAACTGAACTAGGCCCACTAATGAACAACTACTTCGATCTATTTCCAAGTATTTAAGTTATATGCGAGCAAGTATACAAGTTTTATCCAAATGAAAATAGTAATTGACGGATCAACAAGATTGATTAGGATTATTGTGGCATACCTTCATCTTCAAGCTTATCCCAATGTTCATCCCAGTCAGCGGCTCCTTCTTGGATGCCAGGTTGCCAGCCTTGAAAGTTGAAGTAGGTTGAGGTCAACAAATGCAAGGAAAAGGAAGCCCACCAGTGAGATACAAGCGAAACAAGTAGGGGAAACTTCATTGAACAAGAATGAAGAGCTGTTTTAGAGTATAAAAATGTTTTCACAGTTTTATATCCAGAATCTGTGCTGAGTGTGTGCAGACACAAGTTAAAGAGCAGCCATGACAGAGGAGCATAAAAATAGTAATATATTGCAATTAGCAAAATCTAGAACCACAAGTCATGTACCATAAATTACCCAAGTTTAAAAGATTATGAAGTGCAGGTCCACACACGTCTTATTAAAAACTACAAAAATTCCATACATGACAAGTTGAAAAGAAATCAATCTGCCCATTTCAAGTTCACTGATTCAGAATTTAGGACTAGTTCATCAATCTCTCCACCAGTCAAGAACACAAAAAGGAAAATGATAATGACAAAATAAATGAAACAGATATCACGATATAATAAAGTTGTGAGCATGAAAAAGACTGGAAAACGAGAGAAGGATTTATAACGGGATCTACAAATTTGAATATACCAAAAGGTAGCTCCACTAGTGTTGTGGGCTTCCCACGTAACCCATATTTCTTGCACCGTTCATTTAAAGATTTTACTAGCTCATCAAGATCTGATTGGATATGATCAGCGTGAACCTGAAAGTTAAGAGAAAACATAAGAAAAATCAGACTCCAGATGTCAGCAAAGACCTGGGAAAATAAAAAATTTCATATATACCTGAAGGTTACCATCACTACTGCCATCTTGTTCCAATTTAACAACTGATTGATACAATTCCAACTTTTTCTCCTGTGCATCATGGTTCAAAAAATTATTTTACATTGATCAGGCAAACACACACACACACACCCCCACAGAGTAGTGATAAGCTTTGTATTTACACTAACTTGAAGAAAAATCCGTAGTTCATCAAACCTGTATGTCACGAAATGTGGCTTCTTCAGCAGTTAACTTAGATGCTATATCTCCAACTTGCTTATATTTGGCTTCATATTTCTTCGCAAGAATCTCAACCTGGCATCGGAGTAATAGGCAAATGATAGACATCAGAGGTCAAGGAGATAATCAGATCAGAACACATGCAAGTGTCAAGAAAGATACCTCATGCTTATCAGAAGATATCCTTTCTACAATCTCATTAAGGCGATTGTCACATCTGCTCTTGTACAGAACCTTTTATACAAAAAAACAAAAAGGTTTCAATAGGTGTTCTTAAATTTTCAGTAGAACATAAAGAAAAATACAACTCTGATAGTATTATATAAAAAAGGAGACAAAAGGTTCTGCAACCTCAGTCCCAAGTAACTAGAGAAGCACCCAAAGTCTAAGATGAATCATGAGAAAGTAGCAATGAAGAGAGGAATTTGCTGCCACCCCCAACCCCACCCACGCCAAGATGGAGGGGAGAGATGAACTCCACAAACATGGTCATGGTAGCACTTGGGAGGATTGACATGTTTTCAGACTCATATAGTATTTTTTACTTGTAATAATTCTGGGCAAGTTTTAGAAGTCTTCTGTTGTCAGAAATGTTAAAAAGTGCGAAGAAAAAGAGACATGTCAGCCAATTTCGGGAAAATGTTGCAGAGATTCCCAGGATCTTAATAGAGAATTCTAATACTGCTCACTCTGTGTTGTAAGGGTGCCTGCTTATTTCATATTCCTATTACATCCATTCTAAATTCCGTCATTTTGTCATCAGACCCTAAGAGTCATGGGAAACTAGATACAAGAATGAAGAGTAGATACATTAAAAAAAACATGAACAAATTTTTGAAGAAAGTAATGGTTGTCACCAAGGATATTTACTAGATACAAGAAGGCTTTAATCATGTTGAGAAAAGAGAGATATGAACAAACAAGGGCAAAGAGTGTCAAGCTGGATCACCAAAAGACTAGATGGAAACGGGGAAGAATCATAGTTAGGAGGTCCATATAAACCCACATCAGAATCCCATACTTCTGAAATGGGACTCAAGTCTCACACATAGCAAACAGGGTCTTAATGCTTATGATTTTCAATTCTCTCTTCTCGTGCTGTTCAAAAAGCTTCATGTTTGACAAAGAGTATGAGTCAATTTTGGAAGCCACCACCATAACAAATGAGGTGTATTAGGCTAGCAGTCCTTCAAAGATAGCTCCAATATGTGCTTCCATAGGGACTATCTCACCAATCGCAAGAATAGCATCAATTAGTTTCTTCGCCTTCAGAAGGAAGTCAAAGATACCCAACAAATCTTTCTTTAAGTTCTTGAGCTGATTTCTCAGCTGTTTATCTTTCACACAAGTCTATAACACAAAAAAAAAGACTTCACGGTTAGTCCAGAATCGGTACCTATGTTCATACCCCACCATTCATGCTTGCATCCCTTTCGTCATTGATGCAAGAAGCCATAATGCAACTAACTGGTCCTACAATTTCTAGTTGAGAAATTCCTTAGAAATTTCCAACGAGTTCATCTTCATCTGAAGCAAATCTCTAACACAACGCACGTTAGCCCAAAATACATATTTGCATCTTGAAGCCATTAATAGCAGTGAAAGCTTGCAGCAGCTTCCATATCAAGTAATTCCCTTCCTCAAGTTTGATGGACACAAGATTTGAGAACCGTGGTAACTAGATTTGCGCAGCATTGATGCAAAACTTGGGAAAGGCAAAATATAGGCATTGGCCATGGGCACGTGTATCCGCTCTCATATGTTGCAGCTTATGGAGAAATTGATGTAGAGGAGTCATGAAAGGAACTCGCTTACAAGCTAGGGAACTAATTCATGGATGCGTGTTCCTACTGATGAAATCGACGGCAAATGGAAATTTCAAACACCAAGTTTTCAATTTTGGTGGTGATGATGAAATTAGATGGACACTACCACGAGATGACCACATGAGGCTTGACATTGATGGATCAGTCGATGCTCAATGACTAGCCACAAGGGGAGGCATTGTGCGCCACTCAACTGGACAATGGATTTTTCAGTTCCATAAAAAGCTCGGTTTTGTTCCTCCTACAATTGCGGAGATTTTGGCCTTGCAAACTGGATTGGAGCTGTGTCAACACCAAGGGATCTGCAAGTTAGTAGCATACACAGACTCAATGGAGACTTATCACTTGATCATGAAGGATGATGGTGAGAACGACCCTCTTAGACCTGAGATTAATGAAATCCGAGACATGCTCTACTCTGGACGGGATATAGAAGTTAGATACGCACCAAGAGACAGCATCAAGTGCATTGATTTTCTTCCTAAAGATGCTCATTATCAAAGTGTGGAGATAATTTTTATAAATGATCCCCATCCCAAGTCCGTGCAACTTATGGACGAGGATATACATCCTCCATTTGATGGATGTAACTTTGATTGTGTTCTTTTCAAGTTTCTCACTTGCCTTGTAATGCCGGGGAAAAAAAAGGTTTTGTGCAGCATTTGTTTCGCACCATAAAAAAATTCAAAACAAGAGATAATTTCCATCCAACTATAGGCAGTGTATTTACAGAGTATCACAATTGAACTTACTCTATCTAACACAATAGTCTCAAACTGACCCTAACAATACTACCCTTCTCACTACCCTTACAATGTCCCACCAAGCTCCATAGCCCTTAGCCTATGCAGCATGGCTTTATTCTAGATGCTAAGCCTAATGTAGGAGTCAAATTCCATACTTTGCCACTGGGTTCTAACAAGCAGGATTTAGTTGCATCTCTCTACTCAAAAGAAAAGTTGTTTTAGACCAAAAACCATTTAAGAATAGAACTCTCAACCTTTACTCCTCTTTTGTTCTTCTTTTCTTTCTCCAGTAAAATACTTTGACCTCCTTCAGATTTAGCATTCAATACACAAATTACCACACACTCTGAAAGCATGCTATCATTTAGCCTTTCACACAGTGATGGTTTAAAAAAAAGTTTACTAAGATAATAGAAGCCAAGTAAAAGTCATATATATATTTTCCTTAAAAACCTCAAGTTTATTAGTTATCAGTTTTATGAAGCATCATTTAAAAAAAGAGATAAACGATTTTAAAGAAAACAAATGTTTGCACATATTTTTTATGATAGGGTGAAGATTTCGCAATAGTAAAAAAGGGGGAGGAAACCAACCTATGTTGATGAGCTTAATTAATTCACTTTATATACAATGGCATGATTATAAAAGTTAGGGAATCAACTATAGGTAAACAACAAGAGTATTTTTACATCCTTAAAAGCTTGAATGTTTTGTTTATGCAGTGCAGGAAATGAGATAAACAATATCCTATTTTGTGGGAATATTTTGCCATTAATTGTACAGATTTTATTTTGTCATTGATTAGCTCTTTATTAGGCTTTATTACCTTTTATGAGATATTATTATTCTGTCTCTCTCTAGGTGTATATATTCAGATGTAATGTACCATTCAAAATGAGTGATAGAATCATATTTCCCACAAGATTCAACATGGTATCAGAGCATCAGGCTCAAATTCGAAATTAGGGTTCCTAGGCCATGAGTCAGATAAAGTCTTTTGTCCAGTATGCTAGGGAACTTGTGTGCGCCATGATAGAGTCATTGTTGACTCTCACCGCCAGTCCCATCAGCAGCAGGAGACTTCAATCGGCTAGACCCAGAAGCAGCTCCATGAACGGCAATGCGTGAGTCACACGCGCCACCATAGTCTCTAGCGACTGTAGCACATCCGTGGCGTGTGAGAGCGCGTGGAAGGTCCACTCCGGCAGCGACTTCTCCCATCGACGACAGCGAGCAATTTCCGGCCAAACCCAGGGACTTCCCACGTCAGAATAGCCCTTTCCTGAGATGTCTCGTTAACGTGCTACATGTTGTGTACTGTAGCCTTACATGTGCAGGATTGTGGCTTTTGGATCACATAGACAACGATTTTTTCTTCATGGTTAGTGGCGTAGGGATGGTCCTATGGATGCTCCTACGCTCATTGCTCAACACTTTGTACCAGTTGCATCAGTGGCGAAAAGAGGAACTTTCCTTCAAGCCTTAAAGATGTCACAAAACACAGTAGTATGGATTGACTCGGGAGCATCTGACCATATGACCAATTCCCACAAGTTTTTCACCACTTATACTCCTTGTGTTGGAATCATCAAAGTAAAATTTGCCGATGGTTCCCTAGCCCAATTGCTGGCAAAGGGAGTATTCGTATTTCAAATTCGATAGTCTTAGAATCTATCTTACATGTGCCTAAACTTGATTGCACTCTCATTTCGGTTAGTCAGTTGAGCAAGCAGTCAAATTGTTTTGCTAAATTCCTCCCATCTCATTGTGTTTTTCAAGATCTATCCTCTGGTGTGACAATTGGAATTGCCAAAGAGTATGAGGGGTTGTACTATTTCGAGGTCAACCAAGTGGGTAATTCACTCTCACCTACAGTAAGTCATTCTGCATCTACCTCAAAACTTGATGATTTTATGTTATGGCATAAGAGGATGGGCCACCCTAACTTCCAATACCTTCAACGGTTGTTCCCAAATCTGTGTCCTAACTACGATGTTAGTGCCACCCATTGTGAGGTTTGTGAACTTGCAAAACACCATCGATCCTCCTATCCTAGAGCCATTTACACACCTACTAAACCGTTCACAACTATACAGTGACCTGTGGGGACCATCCTGAGTTGCCAACCGCACCCACAAGAAGTGGTTCATTACCTTCATCGATGATCATACCCGTGTTTGTTGGGTGCATCTTTTGAAAGACAAATCTGACATCTCATCTGTGTTTCCCGGGTTCTATTCCATGATTAAGAACCAATTCAATTCCAGTATCCAAGTTCTCCACAATGACAATGGCACTAAATATTTTAACCACTCCATGAGTATGTTTCTTCAAGAACGTGGCATCATTCATAAAAGTACATGTGCTCATACACCCCAACAAAATGGAATTGCTGAGAGAAAGAACAGACACATCCTAGAGGTTGCCCGAGCCCTCATGTTCACTTGTAACGTTCCAAAATACTTTTGGGGAGATGCTGTTCTCACTGCCACACACCTTATAAACAGAATGCCAAGTTGTGTATTGTCCTTTGAGACACCTCTCAAGAAACTCAAAAGTATCTATCCTACCTCCCATATTGAGACTAACCTTCCTTTCCGTGTCTTTGGATGCACAACATTTGTCCACCTACATCAAAATTCCAAACTTGAACCACGTGCTGTCAAATGTATCTTTGTGGGCTACTCACCAACTCAAAAAGGCTATAAATGCTATGATCCTGTCTCTAAACAAATATTTGTAAGCCTTGACATTAGCTTTCTTGAAGATGCACCGTTCTATCCTAAGCCTTCACTTCAGGGGGAAAATATAGGTGAACTTCAGTCTTGGGAAGGTATAGAAACCACTCCAAGCACACCACTCCAAGCACATTATAAAACTCTTGCTCCAAGATTTCGTGCTTTCACTACTAATCCTGACAGGATAAAAATTCCTAACAACATTCATGAAGCCCTTGAAACACCAGAATGGAGGAAGGCTGTTATGGAAGAGATGAGAGCTCTTAAAAAAATACAATACATGGGAAGTTGTTGATTTGCCACGAGGAAAGAAACCTGTGGGATGCAAATGGGTCTTTACACCAAAGTATAAGGCTGATGGTTCCTTGGACAAATACAAGGCACGATTAGTGGCTAAAGGGTTTACCCAAACCTACAGCATAGATTACACTGAGACATTTGCTCCTGCGGCAAAGCTCAATATAGTTAGAGTTCTATTATCATTAGCTGCAAACCTTGACTAGCCGCTTCATTAGTTGGATGTCAAGAACGCGTTCCTTAATGGTGAGTTAGAAGAAGTTTTCATGACCCTACCTCCAGGTTTTGAAAACAAGGGAAGAAGTAGCAAAGTATGCAAGTTAAAGAAATCTCTCTATGGGCTCAAGCAATCTCTCAGAGCATGGTTTGATCGCTTCTCAAAAGTGCTAAAAAGAGAGCAGTATGTGCAGGGCCAATCTGATCACACACTCTTTGTTAAACATAATGGAGAAAAAAGGGCCATTTTGATTGTCTATGTTGATGATATGATCTTAACTGGAGATGACATTGAGGAAATTGAAAAACTGAAGAGAATCTTAGCATTTGAATTTGAAGTAAAAGATCTAGGCCAAATGCGTTATTTTCTTGGCATGGAAGTCGCCAGGTCAAGGAAAGGAATATGCATCTCATAAAGGAAATATACTCTTGATCTCTTGACAGAAACAGGAATGCTTGGATGTAAACCTGTTGACACTCCCATTGCGGTACAAAAAAAGAAGAAGAAGGAAGAAAAAGGCAATGTTGGTGATGATAAGGAGGAGGAGGAGGAGGAGGAAGAAGAAGAAGAAGGACCCCTCGTTGACAAGGAAAGATATCAAAGTTTGGTGAGAAAACTCATCTACTGTCACAAACAAGACTAGATATTGCCTTTGCAGTGAGTTTTGTGAGCCAACATATGCACTCCCCAAAAGAAACTCATCTGCAAGTTGTGTATAGAATTTTGAAGTACTTAAAGGGTACCCTAGGAAAGGCTTATTCTTCAAAAAGGCAGAATGACCAAGTATAGAGATATATACTAACGCTGCTTACGGGGATGGCTTTGAAGATAGAAGATCCACATCTGGGTATTTCACCTTTGTATGGGGTAACCTAGTAACATGGAGGAGCAAGAAACAAAATGTGGTGTCTAGAAGTGCCGCAGAAGCTGAACTCAGAGCGATTCCACATGGAATTTGTGAGGGTTTGTGGTTGCAAAAGCTCCTCAATGATCTACAAATTGAGGTAGAATTACCTATCAAGCTCTATTCTGACAACAAGGCTACCATCAGCATGTCCCATAATCCAGTCCATCACGATAAACCAAACACGTTGAAATAGACAAGCACTTCATCAAGTAAAAGATTGAAAATGGAGTGGTGTGCTTGACCTATGTTCCGTCAAAGAAGCAAGCTGCAGATGTCCTTACCAAGGGGCTTCCAAGAGACAGTTTTGATGAATGCGTAAGCAAGTTGGACATAATTAACATCTATGATCCAACTTAAAGGGGAGTGTGGGAATATTCTGCCATTAATTGTACAGATTTTATTTTGTCATTGATTAGCTCTTTGTTAGGCTTTATTAGCTTTTATGAGATATTATTTTTTTGTCTCTCTCTAGGTGTATATATTCAGATGTAATGTACCATTCAAAATGAGTAATAGAATCATATTTCCCACAAGATTCAACATATTTTTACCAAGCTCCTACTTGCAATCTCTAGCTGCACCTGCATGGAATATAGCTCAGCCTTCAAACTATTCTGAAGAATGCATGATAGCATGTTATATACCTCATGAAATCGATCATCCTTTACCATTTACAAATAGACCAAATAGAATGCAAATTGAACGGCATTAGTTTAAAAGAAAAAAGCATGGAAAATACTCACAAGTTCTTGCATTTTGGCATTATAGAAGTCTATTTTCTCCCTGGAATCCAATATTTCTTTCTCGAGTTCTTCCACCTTTAATAACAAAAACAACATGATGAGAATCTCCTGTTCAGCTAAAACAGGACAGAATCCAATCAGGTATATGCAGGCATGACACAAGGATCTCAATAAATGACAATCTAGAAAATGGACTTTCCATGAACTGTGCAGAGATAACTACAACAGCTAATAGTTATCATGTGTAAACTTCAATCATCATTAGAAGGATTAAGAGAAAGCAAAAAATTCTAGCAATGACATATCACTGCATCATAAAACTAAACGATATTACCTAGATGGCCCTATATGAAAAATTGGAGAAACAAAGATAGGAAGCAAAATTCCTAGGAAAGGTTTAAATAGCACAAACGAAAAACTGATATAAATACTGCCAAAATAGATAACCAAAATACTGCCAAAAAGCATAAGAGTAATATTACAAAGAAGAATTCTGATCTCAATAGAAAAAGAAGCGCAACAATGTTTGTAAAGACATACATAAAAAGAATGATTAAAATAAGGAACTAAATGATATTGTGCATCAGTAGTGTTAGTGCAAAAGCAAAAGATAGAAAAGGTACCTTCTTATCTGCTTCTGTTGCTTCTTCAAATTTTGAATTAATCGAACTCTGTTCATCAGAACTCAGCTGACTTATGAGGTGTTTCTCCAAGAGTGGCACTCTGCGCTTTTGCTGCTTATTCTCTGGTCCTTCATCTGCTTGAGGAACAGAAACAGGTCTTGGTGGCCTACTAGCAGTAGGGTTCACTGGTCGGGACCCAGAAACAACCATCCCTTGCTGCTGTTGAAAACCTTCAGAGATAATAGGGGCAGAGAGACAGATTTAGGAGAAGAAATAGATATTTTCATAAACATGGAAGCTTGTAACAAAATACTGCTAATTTCTTGTTTATATATATGCACCTGATAAAGTTCCCCAAGATGCAGTATTGTAATGACTTGTGGGTTGACCAGAAGTTGGTAAATCAAGCATAATGTTATTAGGAAGGACTGCAGGAAGAACTCGTCCTTCCCTGTGTCGCTCCATTAAGTACAATGCAATACAAAACTCCCTAAGAGAAAGCATGCTATCATTATCTTGATCAGATAAGTCCCAGACCTGCTTTAAAACCTCTGAGAGATATAGGTCAAAGAATAAAAATAAGGATCAGGGAATCAGCTAGCAATCAAAAAGTTAAAGTATGGTGTGTATAACAGAACCACCAACACCCCACCAAAAGCAGATGGCATCAAATGCAACCTATCTTCTTATAGAGATGATCAATCAGTCATATATTTCAACTGACTGCAGTCATTGTAGCTAGAGACCAAGAAAAGCAAGTAAAATATATGAACTTCAAGGCTATCAGTAAGCAAAAAGGAAAAGACAAGCACACCATACCTCTTGGCAATCTCCAACTAAGGAACAAGTTTCGGGCTTGCTCCCCAGTAATTTTCCCATCTCTGTCTGTATCTACTTCCACAAATACTTTTGTATATTTCTGAACATCGGATGAAGTCATCCTTGGCCAGAGAGATGGAGGCTGACTGGAAGCAGAATTCTGCAATCCCGCTGAATGTCCAGATGGAATCAACATAGTACGTGCCTGGATTGGGACATTTTGGTTTTGTTTCGCCAGTGCCTGAGCCTGTGGAAGTTGTGAACTAGCAGGCTGTGTCACAAGTGAGCTCTGGAAAGAATCAATGGCACTTGTCTGAATAGAATTCTGGTTCGCTCCAGATACTGGAACAGCAGCTGATGAAGCCTGTGAACTGCGTGTAGAAAATCCCTGTGGTGAAGAGTATTGCTTTAGCTGAGATGAGGTAGCAGAGAACACATCCCCACCCAAAAATGAACCAGAAGTAAAACCATTTCCTGAAGCATCAACAGATTTAGAATCCTTAACTGCTAGTTCAGATGGATTTATGTCAGAGACAGGGTACTGCCTAGGTGGCAGTGCAGCATTTGATCCAGAGGCTGCAAGCCCAAACCCATCCTGGGTTATTGAAGGACTAATTCCACCAGCTCCTACTTGGGAAGTTACTGCTGAAGCTCCACTCACTTGGCCACCGATCCTATCAGTTGTAATGCTGGGGGCGGTAGCTTGAGCTCTAACAACAGCCACTGCTCCAGAGAACCCTTGAGTGGAGCCTCTGGGTGCCAGATTCGAACTAGATGTAGAAGTTTGTTGTGGAGGCTTCACTAATTGACTTTCTGGAGAAGAAAAGTTTGGCTGGCTTCCAATTAAATTTGGAACTGTCCCCCTCAATACAGTGTTTTGGGAGGATAAAGGATTAACAGGAGCCATCTGAATTGTAGGTGCAGCTACAGAAGAATTAAACTGAGGTGCAAGAGTGGAAGCAAAATTAATTTGAGGTGCAGGTATCTTGGATGCAGCTGGGCCATGCAAAGCTGCTTTTACAATTTCTGGGGTTAGCTCTCGCTTACTCTGTGCCACTGTGACAAGTTTAAGGGCATTATAAAACTCAGCCCGGCCAAGGAAACCACTTTGACTCTCATTTGCAAAAGCCCAAATCTGTAAATGAAGCCAACCAGCGATATTAATAAAATTTAAAATACTGTCACAAAAGAAAAAATTTAAATATGAATGTGTCTGCGTTTTGACATGATTAGAATGTAGATGCCTTCATGCAGTGGTGTCACCATTAAGAAGGACGAACACCCATGTATCAAGGTCACAAGCAAGAGACGAATGTGGCGCCATCACAATAATACCTCACTAACAATCAAAGCAATAATTTGAGGAACTGGCAAGAACCCTATCAAAAGACCATTTCAAGTCAAAAGATGTTCATGCCCAAAAAATAGTTTCATTATAATCTCTAGAACAATCACTCACATGAAAGCCCATTTGACTTAAAGTGCAGCTAAAGCACAAGGGCCCATTAGTCTCTTAAAAGAGATAAATATCATTAAATTGCATAACTTAGCTGGTTATTTCCATATCTGCACCACAGAATGCAGAATAAGATTAGCCCTCACGTTCTGTAGAAAAGCATATATACAGTACTCATGATTAATTCTCGCATTTTTAATTTTTACAGAACTCAATTCATTGTGACTTCTCCCATTCACAACTAACGTAAGAAAAATAATTTAGGTAGATTGGCACCATTATATCAAGCACTGTGTAATCCTCATACAAATTCCAAACATCCGAAGCGCCCCAGATGGCTGAGATCTGCCCAAAATCTCAGTTTCAGGACAGCAGGATACATCGACACTGACAGTTCATACATCAAGGAAATTCAATAGAAAATAAATTTTAATCATCTTAACTGGAACCAACCTCAGATCAGAGTACAAACTGACATTTTTAAGATCACACTAAAGAATGGAAACAGTCTTGATATGCTATTGCCAACCACTAAAACAATAAACTTGTACACAATCATGGGAAAGCAAACATAACTGCGTGCCTAACAAATAGTGAAGATAGTACCTGCGCGAGAACCTGCTTGGACAAACCGGAGCCTTGGAAGAAGGCGACAGCTTCGGCACCACTAATACGGCCGTCCCGATCCAAATCCGCACGTCGAAAATAAGCATCGAAGAGATCAACATTAGGCGCTTGGTTCTGACTCGATGCCATTGTTAACACCGGCTGATTTTACAGTTTGCGAATCAAACCATAAAAACAGCAGATTCACAAAGCTAAAGGTATATGCACGGAGAACGTGAAAGACCTCAAACGACAAACACAACCAAGTTCGAACCCGTGCACATCAAAGGATTCGCCCAGCCCCCTATTGCTGTTAATTTGTTGGAACCAGCGGAATGAAAAATTGCGGAACGAAAAGGGACAATGACACTGTTACTCTCGTTCGGTAACGATGTTTCGAAAATACTACTGGGATTGGGCCACAGGACGGGACTTTCAGTCAGACCCGCCCCTCGTGTACTTTTTATTCGGTAAAAAATGGGGCCTTAGCCCAAGCCATTAAACAACTCTACCCAGCCTAAGGCATGAAGTAGCCAATAACGGTAGCCCTTGTAATCACAAAGGCAGGCTGACAGCAACTGAAAACCAGAATCTTGACTCACGATCCAACTTGGGAGCCAGCCATCACAAAAATAACCTTCCCTGTTCTAGATTCATTTTTTACTCAAATGCAAGAAAAAGGGGTGTACATACACTCCAATTCATGCACAGTCAATTTTTCAAAAGAAAAAAGTAGAGATGAGATTTCATGCCGAGAGCAGGGAGGATTCTTCATTTTGCAAATTTATGGAATGAAAGACTTTTGCCACTCTAATTTGTCGACTTAAACGTACTTAAGACATAATTATTATAGCATTATTAAAGATGAAAACCTAATTAAATAACTTCGTAGGCTTATCACACACACACGCGTGCTTGCGTGCTTGCGTAAATCCCCTGCAATCAATCAGTGCAAGGGTATTAAAATTATACACAAATAATAAATATAAGGATTAAGGTATAAAAATACTCTCAAGGCCAAAAAATAAAAGCACAAAAATACCCATCAACTTTTCCCAAAAGTGCCCCAAGTACTATATACTTTTATCATGTGCAAATCTACCAATACAAGTTTAAAATAGGTAAAAAAAAAAAAATCAAAGCCAAGCTAACAGCCGTTTATTTTAATGACGGGGCCTACAATATTTTTATGAAAGTATTACAATACCCTGATGATGCCTTTGTCATTAAAGCACTCAATTAAATTATGTCCTAATTAATTTGTAGTTTAGGGTCGACCTAGGTCATTACTGTAACATCCAGACTTTTAGGCCTAGAAGTACTAGAAATAGCCTGAATTGGATAGGCTACTAGACCCCTTTTGAGCAGAAGTCCCAAAGATAAGAAAGGAAGGCAAAGCAGTTTCAGGGACTAAATGCAAAGTAAAAGTTTTAAGGGGCTAAAGTGTAATCAAAGTTAGAGGCTCCAGTAAAGTCTCGAAGGCCCAGAAAGAGAAAAGAGACTAAATACAGGCCAAAGGTTAAGCTAAAAGCCTCAAAGAGAGGATTATATGAAGTTAAGTCTAAGAAGGGACTAAACTGTAAATTTAGAAAGTTATGACCAACAGGGGTAAAAATGGAAGAGTATGCAGAGAATTCCAAGAAAATCCTAGAAAATGGGAAATAATATTCTAAAGCTCTTCTGTGAAGAGAAAAGATGAAAATACCCCTGAAGCAGCTTCAATGGCATTTATGAGGTTATTACCAATAAAAAGTATACCATGTGAGGTAATTATTTAAAATAGCAAGAGACCTCAAAAAATGTATATAAAAATGAGATTAAATGGTTAGAAGGTTGTACTGATTTATAAAATTAGTCCCGCAACCAAAAGGCCAGTGGAGTGGCTTTAATAAATTAAAGAGCCGGTTTTGCTGATAAAAGGGTATTTTAGTAAATGAATTTTATGCAAAGCTTAAAGGAAGTGTTAAGGCCTAAGAAAACTCATAGATACTCTCTAGAATTAAAGGGAATTTATGAATCTGATAGAAAATAATTACAGAGGCTAGAGCACTGTAATTATAGAAAAGAAGTCAAACCCGAAGTAAAAGTGCACCGATAAAGTGTTGATTAGAGTCTTGCACTTTACTTGGCCATAAGTCGCCACTTGTCAAGCCTTTAATGGATGGTAATTAAAGCTTTCCAAGTGTCAAGCTACCAATGGAGAGGATCTTGACTTTGGAATGTAATTATATTATGAATTAAGTTAATTAAGAGAGAGGTTTCAAAAAGGCTTAGGCATTTGACACTTAGACTTTCATTAAATGTGGTAGATGAGATATTTTGAGAGCACTAAGGAGCTCATCTCTCCCCTAAATCAAATGGGAATTTCGTCTAAGGCAAAGAGGAGAGGAAAAGAGAGCGTTTTGGAAGGAGAACCAAGGAAAGCTATCAACTTTGGTCATCAATCAAGGATTTAAGGTGAGATCTTGGTTCTAGATGTGTTCTTGTCTTGTTTTCCTTCTCTTTTAAGGTTGAAAAATCTATCTTCTCTCCCTTTTTATGGCTGGTCGAAATGGTTGATGAGTGGGGAAGGGAGTTTGGTTGTTAGATCTTGCTAGAACACCTCAAAGTATGGTAGATCCAAGTGGATCTATGTGAAAATTGGAAGAATTATGTGCTGATTTAATACCTATTTCGAATTAGTTACTATTCATATCTGGTTCTGAAATTTGGCATGCTTAAAGTACACTCTGTGAGCTTTAAATCCACGGGCAGAACGCTCCATTTGGATATGTGTACGATTTATGGTGATTTTTCAAAGTTAGGGTTTGAAATCTGGAAACAGTGTTGAACTTTTAGAAGAGTGTCGAGTTCTGTACAATTCCGGTGCTGTTCAGCATAGATTTGGTTCCTAAAACTATTTTTCCTTCAAAGTTAACTTAATGAGCTTTCAGTGTGACTTGAAAACACTCAATTTTGATTTTTCTAAAATTAATTATGAATTTTCAAAGTTGAGCAAAAATTCTAGAGATTCTGCGTGAACAGTACCCGCGAATCAAAATTTTCAGATTTGATCTTCTTGAATCTAAGGCCATCTAAAATGGTCCTAATTGACAAGAAATGGATCATATGGATGGAAAATGATGAGATTTATGTTAGAAAAGCTAGAAAAAAAAACCCTAAGACTAAGAGAAAGGGTTGAGGTTCAAGAGAGCTGGCTTTGAACTTTATGTAATCTAGTGGTCCTAATAGACTGTATGATCATTATGACTATGTTTAGGACCTTTGGAACATCTAAGAGGATGTTTGATGATGTTGACCGAATGCCCACATGATTGGAAAGTCAAGGGAGTCAAAGGAAAAGTAAGAGGAAAGCTTGAGGCGCAAGGTAGTGAATTTACCTATTGTCATTGCTTGATGTGGTATGCTTGTGTGTTGCCGTGTACATGTTATTGAATGTTATTGTGACATGTTTTAGCTGCTGTAATTACTATTCATGATGAGTAGATTATGTCTCCATGGCCATGCATCAAGAAGTTAGCTTTGAGCATGCTAGTATGTCACTAATTAACAAGAGAATAAACAAGTTGCGTGTAGTGCATGAGCATCCATTTAGCATGATTAATATGGTATTGTTTGTTACTGAGATTCCCCCGAATCTCACCCCCTCCCTAACCAACCATTTAGGTCAATCAATGATGGGCACTAATGGCATGAGAAGCAAGGAGAAGAAGTGGAGAATTATTAATGCAAATGATTGATATAAATATTTAATGTATAATTCTCCTATGTTGTAAATTATGTTATGAATGCCATCAATTTAATGTATATGCTTAGGATGTTTATGGCATGAATGAAAGTATATGAGTATGAATGAGAAAGATTAAGCCCATGTTATGTATGTCAAACAAATAAAAAGAATTAAAGTAAGGAGATATTAAGGGATAAAACGTAGATCCTGAAGCAGTTAGTTTTGAGCTTTAGTTTGACCTATCAAATGAATGAGTTAAGTCACGAGATTTGGCAGACTCATAGTACACATCCCAAGCTTTAAAATGAGTTGTAAATCACCTCATTTGGATGTGTATATGAAGAGATATGAATTTTCAAAGTTAAGGCGCAGAATCTGAAAAATCCAGATTTTACCAAAGGAAAAGTAATCTTAATCCAATAAATTGTACATTTTCAATGAGAATGAGTTCAGTTGAATATTTTTCCCTTAAATAGTATTGAAAGAGCTTTCCGTAGAATTTTATAACACCTCCATACGATTTTTTTAGAATTAGTTATGATTTTTCAAAGTTGGACTTGTAATCTGAAAACTGGACAGTGAACAGTAATTTTCTGAAAATTAACGTCCAAATTGAAATTTTTAAGTTTAAGACCATCCAAAGTGGTTTAGAATGGTTCTAAATGACTGCTAAGGTACTATATAAGTAAGGTGTGATAATTACTTCCAAGGAGCAAGTTGTGGGTTTCTTTAGGTGAAAATTTAGGTGATAAAAAAAAAGTAATAAATTGGACCTAAACTAAAATGCAAAATTCTAATTCTAAATGCAAGATGCAAATGCTCTAAAATATGTATGAAAATTAAATTAAACTAAATAAATGCAATACAATTTTTGGGGGGTTTTTTGAAGGAAAATAAAAATAATGAATAAAGAAAATTAATCAGAAAGCAAAGAGAATTAGCAAGTAAAAATTCAGAAATTTCTCTTCAGGTACGGTAGAGGGGACAACTTAGGATTCGTATGAATTTAACCTTCATAACCTTAATCAGTTAATTAGACCAAATGGAGGTGATAAGAGAGTGGAATTAATAAACTTAATTACCTACTTGAAATAAAGGAAACCCTCAATTTCAAAAACCCTTAAACCATTAGAGAACTCATAACAGTGTAAGGTTGGTTAATTAAGCCTATTAAAACCAATAAAGATAATTCAATTTAATTTTGGAAATTATGTTTGAAATTATCCAATTAAACAATCAAATAATCAACCAACTTAATTAAACAATTAAGAGGTGAAAGAACCCAAATTTTGCAATTCAAACCACATTGATAATTAAACTCATAATGAAAACTCAATTATAAATTCAATTAACAATGCAAAGGTTCCAAACATATATTCCAACAAGTATCTTGGCACAAATAAGATCCAAATATCAATTTAATCCAAGAATAAAATAGACAATCTAGAACTAAATTGTCTTAACAAAATTACAACTTGTACTTATTTAAAACTAAACAATTTCAAGTCCTTGAATTAAAAAGATAAATGGAATATCACTTCCTTGTGGTCTTCAAGTGCTAGCCCAAGGCTCTAGTCTCCTTCATGCTCCTCTCAAATTGCCTCCCTATAAGCTTAAGCTTCCACCAAAACAATCTTCCCTCCAAAATCATTAGATGCCGCAGCCATGAATTGATTGAAACTTGATGATGATGTGG